CAGAGCGACAGAGTACTTAGGCAGTGAAAAATTTGACGTTCAAATTTTCAACATAATGCAGTAATTACCCTAGGACAATACAAAACCTCAATGACACCTACAATTAAGAACTTCCTTTTCTTTCCACTCCCGTAATCAAAAGTGACGTGCCGACGGGGGCATTATGCGTTGATCTTAGGCTTTTACGCGTAAAATGGGAGCCACTGGAACACAAGCGCCGAGGCACAGACCGGCGTAATGACACGCAAAGTAGAATAGCTATGATAGAGTGACACGCATTCCAAATTGGGATTTACACAAGCTGATAATCTGCGCGGAGCCTATATAGTTGGGCTGTTTTTGGCCGCTGCGGAGCAAGAGATGTGGACACTCCAACTGACACTCTCGAACAGCCTGCCACATGTCTTGTGCTGTTTACACAGCGCTCCTCTACGAAAATTTGGTATGCTGACGTATGCTGAGAAGTGTCATTCTTCTAGCAACCTTCGTAAGTTCTTAATTACAGCTGCAAGATACGCTGCAGTGTGCTGCGAGTGGCCTACGCGGCCTCGATGACACCTGGTGCCTGATTTTTTGTGTCACCTAGAGTAACTGTTGCCTATGCACATTTCCTTCGTGTCTTGTTCCTGCCTACTTAACATTGCCTAACCTACCAGCATGTTATCTTTTGACCGCAGTCAGCCAAGTCAATGTTTTCCCGCAATTTCTTCTTCATACCAACAAGTATCGCGAAAATACAGCTCATCTAGGAGCTGACGGTGGTCTGATATAAAGATACTGATAAAGTAGGACAGTCTCAGAGAAGATCAGAGCATTACGCGAAGCTACGAACACCGTAAGTCAACTGCACATGTGCAGCAGATAATCCCTTCGACGTGTAAAAGTTTGCAGTAGTAATAATTGTACGGCGAAGTGCACGAATACTGAACAGTAAAACGTTCAATTCTCCAATGTCGGGCAACTCGCAACATCAAGCTGACTACAACTGAATAGTTATCATTTGAGTTAATTCACTAGCCTGTTCACACAATTTGTCGAAAACAATCAAGCAGGTTTCTCTTTTCAAACATATCTTTTATAGCGAAAACACTGCACAACGATGATTTTGTCATGTATTCGTTGTTTGTATACAGCGAAAGCTAGCTCATTCGGATTTTACTGCACCAAGAAAAAATTCAAAATAGCCAGAAGTCGAGTTATCTATAGCACCACAAAAGAATAAAGAAGTTATTACATTATTGTACTTTAATTTTCATAATGAATGCATAAAACCAGTGCTCATCTTCAGAAGAGTAGAGTAAAAGCCAAAATTTTTGTCACACCGACTTTCTTCGCAAAGTCACAAACCACGGCTCAAGACTGCTTTGTCTTAAAGCGAAACGTGTTCTGAACCTTTCGCTTATTACCTGTCGCCACCACAACCACTCATACGAGACGTAAATTTTATCACCGGTAAAATGGCCGGCAACTGATCGTTTTTCCATTAGGAAGTGAGTTTTGTGCCAACTGGTGGACCGTGACTGGAGTTCTTAATGTTCAACGGCATCCAGCATGCTTAAGATTTGTAACATCGAGCGCGCATAGCGGAAAGTGAGAACGAAGCTGCTAAGCTCCGCATCTTCTGTGGAACGAACCATAATTTCTGATGGTGCAATCATATAACGTCAACGCAGTTTTGAAGGCAGGCATGAGGCCTACGTTCCGAGTCGAAACGAAACTGTTGAGAATCGCTTCTGCTGCTGAAAAAGAAAACTAGATTGCTAACGCACAATTATGCACTGCGACCACGCTCAGTTGCGACGGAAACGAAAACACTGCTCATCGCATCATTGATCACAGTCGCTATTGACACAATCAATGTGTACCACTAACACAGCATACGCGTGCCGACTGAAAACGAAGAGGAATCAAATTTCCTGCCGTAGCTACTCGTACTACTGGTGACGAAGGCTTGGTCACCAGTACTACGAGTGTAACCAGACAGGGAATGACGACCCCGTCATTTTGAAGACCTGCGGTCGTCTCTTATGTTCGCGAACAACGCTTTCACTCTTTTTTGTCACACTATTGCGGAACTTCGCGTTGATAGTGCTCTTAAGATCATCCTAATTGATGCGGTTGCGACCTAATGTGACCCAATCAAAGATGGCACCATGCCATAAACAAGAAATGTACCTATCGAGGCCGAAGAACATGTTCGAATTACTCGATTTTAGCACGAAAGTGTCACGTGCCGGGGTTCACCACAGCTCCACTGCCGTATTTCCGTCATGGATAGGACGTTGTGGAGTGCATACTAACAAATTGCAAAGAAACCTATCACGAGAAAAATTATTGGTTATGTTGAGCGCCAAACCTAGGACCTCTCGCTCTACGGCGCGTGCCGCGAAACCACTAGGCCACGGAGCGTACGTTGCCGAACATAATAACGGCAAGCTATTAGAGCTAAAGCTGTATATGGCTAGAAGAAATAAAAAACTCTCCAGCAGCGGTGTCACGAGCGGTCTCCATTGGCTGTCATACCTGTTACGCCTTTTTCAGCATCGTACTCAAGCAAGCGCGCCATTAGCTGCGTTGTTAGTGACGTCGTCCATCTCACCGCAGCCGGGGCGCCGAGCACGCGCGCATCAGTTTCGCCTGAAACCTTCTACATGAGTGTGCCACAGCTCTAAAAGAGTGACGATGGTGGAAATGGGAAAGAGCTCGCATTCGCCGGGCCGATAGTGCAGTCCTGACACAAAAACAGGCCCGAGAGGCCGAGTGCCGGCAGCGACTACGTACCGATGATCCGGCCGCCTTTTAAGCGACTCTTCATTGCCAACGGGAATGCAAGTGCCGGTGGTGGTGATTACTACAAACCATGCCGCCATGATTATCAAGTTTGCACCAGTCACATACCTTCGTAATACATTGACGTCACGTAATACCAAATTTGGTATATGTGAAGCTAGCGAAACAGCCACGAGCGCATCATGAGCGTAGCATAAAGTCATGTTGTTACATGACACGCATCTCATGTTTATCATGTTCGCACCATTATCAAACCTTTGTCATCCATTCAAGTCCAGTAATACCAAATTTGGTATAAGTGAAGCTAGCGAAACGGCCGCCAGCGCATCATGAGCGTGGCATGTAGCCATGTTGTTACATGACACGCATTTCATGATTATCATGTTTGCACCAGTCTGATACCTTCGTCATCATTCATGTACCGTAATACCAATTTTGGTATATGTGACGCTAGCGAAATGGCCCAGAGCGCATCATGAGCATGGCATGCGTTGTTACATGACACGCATGTCATGATTTTCATGTTAGGATTTGTCGTTCGTGTTCGCCATGCAATCATTTCATACCCTACCAGTTTTGCAACATGTCATGTGAACGAAACCACCGCAAGAGCAGCAAGACCATGAAATGCAAATAATGGCATTCATGACTTATATGTCATGATTTTCATGTTATGACTAGTCAAATACAAAGAAAAAATGAAGAATTTTCTGAAAACTCCTTTCATTTATTGCTCACGAGCCCGGTTCTCATACAACAACTCAAGGCTGTTCAGAAGGCCCACGATGCGGGGGTGAGGCTGGGCCTCCCCGTTCCAACGTGGAGCGACCCGCGATCCTACCCCTATAAAACGGGGGGTGGAATCCTTCAGGACCCCAATAAAAGTTTTTCATCCATCCATCCACAAGTCAAATATGCTTGTCCTATAGTCATGTTATGCCATACCAAGTTTGGTATCGTTACCACTATCCAAACAGCCAGGAGAGCTAAAAGTCGTAGGCAGCTAGATAGATAGATAGATAGATAGATAGATAGATAGATAGATAGATAGATAGATAGATAGATAGATAGATAGATAGATAGATAGATAGATAGATAGATAGATAGATAGATAGATAGATAGATAGATAGATAGATAGATAGATAGATAGATAGATAGATAGATAGATAGATAGATAGATAGATAGATAGATAGATAGATAGATAGATAGATAGATAGATAGATAGATAGATAGATAGATAGATAGATAGATAGATAGATAGATAGATAGATAGATAGATAGATAGATAGATAGATAGATAGATAGATAGATAGATAGATAGATAGACAGACAGACAGACAGACAGACAGACAGACAGACAGACAGACAGACAGACAGACAGACAGACAGACAGATAGATAGACAGATAGATAGACAGATAGATAGATAGATAGATAGATAGATAGATAGATAGATAGATAGATAGATAGATAGATAGATAGATAGATAGATAGATAGATAGATAGATAGATAGATAGATAGATACGCTCAAAGTCGCCGAAGTTCGCTAAGAAATGCTTCGCATTTAAAAGGGAACTGGCACGCACGTTTCTCATTTTCGTCTCTCACATGGCCGCTTTGCCTCGGGGCGCTGTATGCGCTATCGACGCTGCACCGCCATCAATGGATGGTCGCTTTGGGTAATTTGGGGGCGGCGCGTATAGGCTACGCCAGTGCTACAGAGCGCCAGACTTCGTAGAATAGATGTCGTGAATGAGCCCGGGACCGCTGATCAAGTTCGTTCATTTGAGATGTTCACTATTCAAAAATTTGTTTAACTCGCATCTGAACTATCAGGCACGAGTTTATTGCATAGAATGCATGACAAAACCACAGGGGCTCTTCTAAAAGTTCGTTATCCTGAAATGTTCTTTAAACCAGCTTTCGGGCCCCGCTGCGGTGGTCTAGTGGCTAAGGTACTCGGCTGCTGACCCGCAGGTCGCGGGTTCGATTCCCGGCTGCGGCGGCTGCATTTCCGATGGAGGCGGAAACGTTGTAGGCCCGTGTACTCAGATTTGGGTGCACGTTAAAGAACCCCAGGTGGTCAAAATTTCCGGAGCCCTCCACGACGGCGTCTCTCATAATCAAATGGTGGTTTTGGGACGTTAAACCCCACAAATCAATCAAACCAGCTTTCGGATACAAGGAGTTATCAGTAGTACATTCACAATGAAGCTCAGCGCTGTGATGAAGTATTACCACCTGCTCTTTGTGTTTCTGGAATGTCCACCCAGCAAGACCGACATCCGTATTCTCACAAAGTTTCCTATCCCTCATCTGCTTCAGGGAGAGAACGCGTCGCCCGTCAGCCGAGTTTCGGTTGGTGCCGAGGCAGACGTGGCCTTCTCCAGCACTGTGGTGGACACTCGCTGCGGCATACTCTGGCTGCGGCCAGCGGCGCTGCAGAGGTTCTGCAAGCCACGCTTCATGCTGGGCAACATGTGCGCCATCACGTTCACGCACAGCTTTCTCACCAACGGCTGCATTAACGTGGTGCTGCCCACGCTCGAGCGTCGCTTCCAGCTACGCAGCTTCGAGAGCGCCATGATCATCAGCGCGTACAACGTGGCCAACTGCATCGCCATCGCACCCGTCGCCTTCATGGGCACCAGCCGCAACAAGCCGGTGTTCATCGGCGTCGGCGTCCTGACTGTAGGCGTGGGCGCCCTCCTCTTCAGCTCGGTCCACTTCATCGCGCCCGCGTACGAGTGGGGTTCCGAGCTGCAGGATCTCTGTCCGGCGGGTGAACTTCCGAATGACCTCTGCCTCAGCGGGGATGTGCGCAACTACCGGTTTCTGCTCATGCTGGCGAACGCTATGCATGGCATCGGCTCGACCCCCTTTTACACGCTGGGTGTCTCGTACCTGGACGAGAACGTGCCCACCCGCATGGTATCTACGTACCTCGGTAAGAGCTCAGTGTAGGTAAGCGCTACAGGTTATGAAGAAAACAAAATACAGGGTCGAAGCATCGAGTTTGTTGTTTATGATTAAGCTGACTACACCTTGCCTAAAGCTTGACTAAACTAAGTCTAACAAATTAAGATAAGAAAGTACACGCTGCTTCCCTACAAACAGGAAGTATTCACCCAGGAAGCCATGCGGCGTAAGCTCGAAGTGCGCTATTTGATGCCCATGTCATGCTTAAAACGTACACGTAAGGGCAAAAGCAAATCAGTTCTTCGGAGCCGTGCAAAGGGACGAAAGGTTTTTGAAAAGGAGAATTTTTTACAGATATCTACGTGAATTTTCAGCTAGCTTCACGCTACAAATGACTCGATGATAACAATTTTCATTTACTGCAATATTAGGAAGAGTATTGATTGGTACGTGAAGCATATCACATCATAACATCAAAAATTATGTCTTAACATGGCTGGCAAAATCAATAGTTATTCGGCCACATGAGTAACAGGTTGCAATTTCGTCTTTATTGTTTTGCAATATTAAAATGCAACACATGTACAATTAATCCGTCGATATTTTGTTACTATCACGCCTTCTCTTACTTCTATTCCTTCCTGTCCGCAAAGTTCTGCTTGAACCCTGCTAATAAATGAGGTACCCGTTATTCTGCTTACTTGTGGAAATGACAAATTTTTGTACCATGCTGTAACGATTACAGAAACGTTCGTGCCTTTTAATGGTAGAAAACTTTAGCAAGGTGCTTGGTTAGAAGACAAAAGGGGAAGGGGAGCTTTTAAGTGATTGTATTGGTAATTTTCAATATTCATAGAGTCAGCCAGTGGACGTACGTCGCAAAACAAAATGTCGACTTTTCTGCGCAGCCTAGAGCTACACTACAATGAGAGCCAACAATTATTTTTTTTTTCAGGTTTGTTTTCGTGTATGGGTGTCCTGGGTCCCGGCGTCGGGTTTATGGCGTCCGGCTTCTTCTTGAGACTCTATGTTGACATCACGAGAGACATCGAACAGTCAGTATGCGCTCCTATATCTCTCACTTATTTGAGAATCAGGATGTGCAAGTCCAGGTGATGCGGAATCCAGAATAGCTGCATCGCAAACCTCTGAAGGAAGTGTTAGGAAGCGCAGTCGCAGAGTCATCTTACAGAACAGCCCACTCTCTAGAAATACGCGGCTGATTACTCCTCCATTTCGTGACTGAAAATCTCTCAGGGTCTAAGGTGGAAAATTTCACAACTGGTGAAACTTATCCAAGCTGTAGATTATACTTCAGCTCAGCTGACACTCCTTCGAACGGAAAAGTTTTTGTGAAAATGGCGATGCAGGACAGTGAGGCGCCCGTTGTTTTGATCGCGTACGCCAAGAAATTGGTCCTAAGAATATATGCTAAGCGGTTGCTAATGTGACTACAACTATAGGCGTAGATTCTGGGGTTAAAATACATGTGTGCCGAAGTACCACAAGAAAAATGGGAATTCTTTGAATTCACTGGATAGCGGTCACCGTGCTAGTTACGCCTGCATTTGCAAATAACCTGAAACATCTGACAGGATTGCGCTAACTACAGCAAGACACTCTACATGAATCTGTCTGTGATAAGCCATCAATTACCGTTTTTCTAAAATGAATAAATACTGCAGCACACACAGCGATTTCGGATATGTTGAGATGTCCGTTCACTCGGATCAAATGTAGATGTTTCTTCTCAACATTAGCCAGGGACTACGTAGTCTTATGCCCTGATTTGCGTCGAATGCTAGTACGATCTACCACCACGTCACAAACGACAATGTTCACCTCACGAGGGAGCACCGCTGACAACAACGATTTCAAAATAAACGCAAAAACGATGGGATGGCACACTCAGCGACCTGAACCAGTTATAGTCAAGTATTCTATTATATGGTATTATTTTAATAATTAAATACGTACTGGGACGTCACCCAGACCTCCAACCAGGTGGCGCCATCATAGCTTCTCGCGGGACGATTCAGCAGATCGCGCGAAATATTGTGGTGTGTACAACATCAGCAACGCCACTCTAGAGTCACATTATGTGCGTTTCAATGGTATATTAGGGGCTTATTTGTCATGCAAGTGTCAGTATTGATAAGATATGGCTGGGGGATTCATTGTTGTGCAAAATGTGGTAAATTAATGTCGCTGGTTCTCTATGTTCTGCTCTATGTACTGCGTCTGACGTTGTTCGAGCATGAAAACGACTATAAATGAACAAGACCTAATGCAGTATCGCGCTGCTGACACATGTGCAGCCTCGGCCTGACTTCAGGCAGCGCCATCTGGGTTGGAGCATGGTGGATCGGGTTCCTGGGGTCTGGACTGGTGCTGCTCACCATTTCTTTGCCGTCCATGTTTTTTCCCAAGCACATGCCGAGTGAGAACCAAGTGATTATAACGTCCGCTACATACTATTGATACCTGAGAGCAGATAAAAGCCTACGCAAGTTCCGTTTTTATCAGTAGTTGACATCTTACTAAGTGTAATATCTTTAGCGGTATTATCATATTCGTTAAATACTCGAAGTAGGTACTCTAAGTATGTGCTAAGCGGTTGCACATACTTAGAACTCAGTTGCACAATTAATGAGCTCTGTTTGATACCATTAGTTATAACTTATTAAATTAAAGTATAAAAAAGGAGCATTCTTGCTTATAGCGGAGCACGGGCTTGCTTAGGGAAAGCACATTCGACAAAAAGGACGCTCACTTGCAACTGAATTTATTCGAGAAAGCTTCACGCCAGGAAGGCGTATGCGCAGGCACATAGGTAACACTGCCACAAACATATTTTCTCGAATAAATTCAGTTGCACGTAAGCGTCCCTTCTGTCATGTGTTCTTTTGCTAAGCAAATCGGCGCTCTCTTAAGCCAAACATGATGTCGAACCAACTAGCCCTACAGTTGCCCTTATAGAAGGAGCACTGTTCGATGGGCCCACTTTTTTTTTCAACAAAACCAGTGACATTAACATACAGCTAAGTCAACCAAGGCATTGGGGACCTTAACTGTGATCTTTCTTTAATTGTAGTTTCATGACTTCGACTGTTTTCAGGCTACTATGGTTTGTTTGAAGAGAAGAAGAAGGAGAGTCGTTTAGGAAAGCACGTCATGAAAGACGCGTCAATAAGAGAGCTGCCCGGAGCTATCTGTGGAATCCTGAGCAACGTCACTTTCTTATCTCTGGCGTTGGCCGGGACCGCGGACTGTGAGTACCAACCTTCAACAAACGACTCGCCCAGAGTTCACTCACTGTTTATTCGATGCTGTATTATGCCCCCCAACACGATGAGGCCATTATGAGAAACGCAGTAGTGGAGAACTCTGAAAACTTAAACTCCATGACGTCATTCAACGTGGACGTCAGTCTAAGCCCACGGGCCTTTTGCATCTTCGGTATCGTACCTAACGCAGCGCTGACGAGGAACAACAGAGGATGAGAAAAGTCCACATATTTTTGTGAACGTTACACAGTCCTAAGTACGCATTCGTGTCAACTAGCTAAGCTTTTCCTTTTATGACTGAACTTTGCCTCTATCGGAATGTGGCTGCAGTGGCAGAAATTTCATTAAATGTCAGCATTCAAGCACAGTAACTATAAGACAACCACGGCGGGTGCATTGTTTCTTAAACGAGAAGGATCAATGGTGGTATGATTGCACGACCTCCGACGCTTTTTGAATGCTCATGTGGCCACAAAACTGCAAATCCATTTGAGGTTTGACGAGCAGCATAATGACAACGAACTCAAGAAGGGACAAATAAGCGTTTGGACACCCGAAGCTCCGCCTCTAACCACTATGCCACGTATTGCCGGTCTTGTTGCTGCCGGAATACGGAGGTATTGCACAATTTCTAAAGCTAACCTCGGTTTCCACTTCCTGTAAAACATATGGCAAACGGGTCTGCCGACACGGACATCATGCAGAACCCGTACACCACCGTTTATCAGCGTCCACACGAGCCCAGAACGCAAAAATGGCTCCTTGTCCCTTCGTAGAACGCGCTCACGCTCCAGCTGGCATGCTCTTCTCCTCGCACGCTGAATGCGAAAAGATAACATTTACTTCGCGATTGGGCCATCTTTAACCACGTGACTGATGACGTGTGATGACCTCACTAACTGACATCATACGGTGTGCTTTCGTAATGATTGTATGGGGTCGTCACTAACTTTAGTGACCTGTTACGTCATAACGTAATACGCTACATCATCAAGGTTCGATAGTTTTTGCATCATTCGTGCGGCCACCACCGTGGGACGACTGTCAACACCAACGGTCAGTTTAGGCCTAATGGGGCATTTAACGCTTTCGCCTTAAGACGAGAGGCCAGAAGTGATGACAAATGAGTGAACAGCTGGAGCCAACATACCGACAAGTGGGCTTGAATTCGTCAAGGCAGTGACGGCCCTGACAAAGACAAGCCCTCTTGTGCTGAGGTCATTGGCTCCAGCGTTTCTGCTACGAAGGTCTCTCACCTCTTCTTGCTTCACACACTATGAGTTCCATCTGTCTTAGTAACAGCCTAATGTATTAGCTAAAAAGCTTTAAAAAAACTGACTTCGTTATTCACCGAGGTGGTCAAACTGCCTGAGGGTACTTAACTATGTCCCATTTTCTTAGCGCGTAATTGTTACTATCACGTGTCAACGGCATTTAAAGCAATCCGTCTAGAACGGAGAAACCGCGTAATCGATGCTGTTTTAAGCCAATCTTTTTCGTTTCTTTCCAGACATGCTCACCAACGCAGTGACACAGATTTCGACGAAGTTCTTTGAGTCTCAATTCGCCATTAGTTCGTCAAAAGCTGCGGCTGTCTTGGGTGAGTGTTTTCCGTTACGTTCATTTATTACCTCCACATACTAAATTGCCTACTCTAATAGCCTGCATCACGGCTTTTATGAGAACCGTAGAGTAACAATAAACTATCATTTGCTTGTAAATCATCATAACATCTGTAGAATTATCTCTAGCATCCCTGTCTCGAATGGTCTCCATTAAAAACGCGAGTTCTCAACTGTCTACTTGGGGCCATGTAGTGGTCACAACATCCTGTGTAACTATTCTACCTAGTTATCGTGGGATAAAACCGTCAGCATGAAAAGGGTGTATCGACTTTTCTTCAAGGTACCATCGCCATCGCCGGAGGATGTGGTGGCACGTTCCTGGGCGGGCACATGGTGACGCGCCTAAACATGTCCTGCGAAAGTATCATCAAGATGTGCCTCATAGTCAGCATTGTGCCCTGGATGTGCATTTTCATTTTCCGAAGCTACTGCTCTGACCCCATCTTTGCCGTCAACATCCCAGAAATGCTGAAGTAAGCATCACAGAATACCACATAGTGGTACGTTGAGTTAGTTGCTATCACATTCTCCAGTCAGAACGAGCGCCTAAACAAGCATACAAGATTTATTCGAAATCGTGAAAGTGAGGATTCGTAGTACGTGAACAAGGACTGTCGCTATATCGCCCGTTTGTTAGAAAGTCTGTTATATATTCAACGACTTGTTTGTGTTCTAGTTATAATTACTAAAGAAACTTAACATGATGGAACGACATATCCAGTGCTGTTCTCTTCATTCCTATTGTTTTATTTTTCATTATTTGTGCTGCCTTCTGAAAAAATTCACAAAGAGAAGTGACATTCACGTGAAGATAATGCCTCTTGGGTCACTCAAAAACAAGTAAAAAAATTTTCCCCGTATATGTATGTTAATTTGCAAATGTCAGTCGAAAGACGATAATCCTGCGGGTGGAGAGAGTGAACAAAACATTTATTTGGTGTTCTGCGCAATGAAATCTGGTGAATGGTATTCTGGAGGCGCTGTGAGTGCCTTGAGCGTGTAGCGGAGGCGAACAAGCACACCAAGCCACGTCACACGTGATACATGAGCGCCATCTGGCAGTTTTACTGGAAAACGAAGTGCACGGCCCTGCGACGGGCGTGCACACCTGTCTCAGAGGTGACAAGGTGTAGAACGCAAGACGACGGGTAGGTGCCACCACCGTGTCGTCTCATCAAAGCGTCGGAAACAATCGCCTTTTTCGTGCAAGCATTGCATGGTCAGCGAAGCGTTATAAACGCTACGGTCCTTAGAATTACTTATGTGTGCCTTTTCTAGTAAAAGACGCACATGCACACTATATACGCGTTGTTATGGTGCCTCAGATATGCGCGATAATTGCTCTTTAGGTGACTATAGCACAAGTATAAACGCTGAATCTTGAGCAACATTGGTGGGCGCTGCGGATAGGGTCGGCCATTTCGGGTATCGGCTGGTGCCGTTTAAGGTATACTCGGAACCAGTTGAGGGTGGACAAACAGACAAATGTACAGACGGGCAGATAAAAATTTTTGCGTCGAAGGTCCCCAAGAACAACTATCGTCTTCAAAATAGAGATGATGCGCCATTTCACTCACATTGAAGAAAACAAGGACTATCGTGGCCTAATCTACCGCGGTGTGGAGGCTAGGGTGCTCGGCCGCTCAACTGAAAGTCGCGGGGTTCATCTCTCACCGCGGCGGTCGCATTTCAATGGAATGGTAACGCAGAAGGCCCAGGTGCTGTGCGATATGAGTGCACGTTGAAAGAACACCAGATGATCAAATTTTCACAGCTCTGCACTACCGCATGTCTCATAATCCTATGGGGGTTCAGTCAAGTAAGACATCTGATATTTTCATCGATGAATGTGACCTGTATCACTATATCAAGCAACATTCGATTTCTCCTTTAGTCTACTGTAACAACTCTAGGCCAAGCGCCAAACGCGGACGGAGTACAAGCTATAGATGTGACATACAGTTCGCTGTACGTCCTCCCTTGTGTATCTGCGAAAGTTCGTTTACGTGCTCTTCACGTGCGCAGTGGCTCGGACCCTTTCGTGTTTCCCTGCAACGAGCACTGCAGCTGCCACAACAGCGCCTACAACCCAATCTGTTCGGTGGACGGACCGTGTTCTTCTCCCCCTGTTTGGCCGGTTGTGAAACGCGCTTGGCAAAAGGAGGAGCGAGGGTAAGAACCAATCAATCAAAGAGTGTTTGTTCTCAATTGATGAGTTTGTACCTCACAGGATTACCTAAAGCGTGTAATAGCCAGCCAACACGAGTACAAGTTTTCTTGTGCGTGACTGGTCAGTACGTCGGCGATACTATATTGACCCGCTGTGCTTACGCCAAAGAGATACCAAAGACAAGAAAGGAAAAAAAAGTAAAAATTTTAGGGATTTAACAGATGCCTGAGTCCGTGCGGGTTTAAAAAAAATCGATACACTAAAAAATGGATACACATACGCGCTGCATTACTCAAATAAATGCGTTAAATTATTTCTTCAGCATTGATACAAAAATAGAGTATCTACGCCTATAAGATTCAACGCCTATATGTATTCGAGTGAACGATTTTCTTCGATCAAAAGCACTAAGTATCCGAACCCCATTAGAAGTATTTATATGACCCATTTTTTGACTATTCATATCTTAAAATATAAATGCTTGTTCTAATCTTGCTTGTTGGTATTGCTGTAAATATTCGATACGATCAATTTTTTTTCACTGCCGGTAGCTATTTTTCTTCCATTTGCAACTTTGGAAAGGTTGAAAATGTTCATTTGATTTACTTTCATTTCCTTGAGATATGATATATATAAAACATTTGCAAACAGCAAGCACAATTAAAGTTCTCGTGCTTATAACAGCATCTGAATTACTATCATAGTAGCAATATCATCGCCGATTCATTTATTTGATATAAATGGCCCATGAGGGCAATTTTTTTTTTCGTAGTCGTTGCAGATGGCACAACGTATAACACTCCGGCGTTGATTTTGAGGATGGATGCCTTCATATAGATTGTGAAAAAAATTGGGAAATGCCACAAAGCCTGCGCCCTATACGGAAAAACTTGTTGTTACGAGAAAAAAAAAAGAGTTTTTTCAATAGCACGAGCAAAAAAATATAGGTAGGAATAGAGTATTGCATCTAGGAATCCTGGACGTTGGTCCGTACGTGTTCCTTTGTGTATTATGAACATTACCACAGTACACTACCGTAACTGAATAGGCAAAGCGTAAAGCAGATAATAATTAAAAAACACATGTGTATATTGAAAAAGACAGCCTAGAGTAACTCAATAAGAGTGAAAGGAAAGGGGTAGACTGACAGACGAAGCATTATCAACCCCTGGCGTAACCAGCGGAGGGGAGGGTGGGTCAGCTGTACATGTATTATATATATATATATATATATATATATATATATATATATATATATATATATATATATATATATATATATATATATATATATATATAATAAAAACGCACGCACGAACATACGTCGTTCTACGAATAAAATTTTGCTAGTTACGCCAATGTTATATATAGCTAACAACCTGTTTGATGATCAATGTGTCGTGGTCTTGATCTGTTTGACCTATTCTTTGCGCTGTTACCCTATTCTTCTAGTATGAGCTAACCAGCACACATGAACAGCGCACAGCTGATCAAATACAAAGTGTGTTTTTACAAGTTCCGGGTGGGGAAATCGGGAAGTGATTCACTTCTAATGGTTATCCTTACGACATCTAGTCGCAACTTTCCTGTTGCGTTATTTAAGCAATCATGGCACAGACAGTCCACCATGCTTTTCGCTTTCCACACACAGGTGTACACCAACTGCAGCTGCATAACGCAACACGTACCGGAGGAGCTGCCCAACGGTACTTTCTTCAACGTGCAAGGTCGCCGCCAGAAGTGCAATACGGGCTGCACGCTTCTTCCTTACTTCACGGCTGGGCTATTCCTGGCGCTCTTTTCAAACTTCCTCAATTTGGCACCCCTTGCCAGCGCTTTGCTAAGGTATGGTATAGTGATAGCTTTATCATGTTTTCCTCGCTCTACGTCTCCCCAAGAACAACCTTAGAAGTTGACATATTTGCACAGCGCAAGGCTACGAGTAGTTACGACGTAACTACGGAACTACTACTGTCTTATCAACTTTGAAATCGTTCGTTGTCGAAGCGTGATTAGTGATGCTGTTCGAGTAGCGGTATACCACTACATGGCCTATTGAGGTGAAAACCTTATATAATTTATCAGTTGAAGGAAATCACCGCCGGTGTCAACCGGAGTGGTTGGCACCACACAGCACCACATGATGGCGTTACCATATGACGTCGTCATGACGTCGTCATAACGTCACATTATATGACATCGTTGCTGGTCAAAGCTCAGCCGATCACTATGGTAGCGCAAAAGCAGTGGAACCTGTGCAAGAAGCATACAATGCATTCAATCCAGTGTCTAATGGTCGAAGGGGGACGGGGGAGAATCCACACAGGGAGACAAAAAAAAAGCCTTAGAGTCGGCTAAGCTGAATGTCTAAATAAAGCAATGAGCTTTCAATTACGATGATTTCAATTTTTTTAATGTGAATTGGGTTTTGATTCTCATCAGTTTGATAGCTTGCTTATTTGCTTACTTGCCTTACAACATTTAGGGTTCAGAAAACTTCACGCCCATGCATGATAAGGCAGGTGGTGTCATCCTCTTAGAATGTTTTTTCTCCCCCACAGGGTGGTCACTCCTAAGGAGCGCTCATTAGCTTTGGCCGTGAAGTGGATCATAGTGCGCATCTTCGGTAAGCATAAGCGTTGAAGAAACTCAGTGTAGGGGCGGACATTTGTAGCTGCTCTGGTGATGGTTGACACGCCCTGTGGATCAGGCAGCGTGTGTCCAGCTTCGTTGCCGGCAAGGCGACGTCAACATACGGTGCACTTCTGTGTACACGGCTTGCTTGTGGTGAGATGAGACCCCTGGTGAAGTTGCGGATAGCCGTCCTGGTTTCAGATTTAAAAGCAGCGAAAAAAGAAGAGGCTGTCCTGGAATCATGATGGATGTAAGAGGCCATAGCCGTTGCGTAGACTAGAGTGGGAGAAGCTTCTTCGCCCCGTTCGGGTTATGCGCTGCTTGTGGAGCTGGTGACCGATAGTGATAGGCACGAGGTTTCTGGTTGTTCACGGGCCTCTCAAGCGAAAGCTCTTACGAATCATTATATACGTACTTTGACGACAGAACCATCAGAAGAGTACCTACGTTGTCGGGTGGTGTACCTTATGTCATCGGCAGCGTTCTGAACTGGAGAACCACACATTAATTAGTCGCCTAAAAGTGACCATTTCTAAGACACGCAGCCGCTTTCTCCCCGTAGCTGCTTGGTGGGTCGTACTTACCGTTGTACTGGGCTGCCTTGGTGTCATGTTTCTGTACAAATCCTAAGTTAGTTAGTTAGTTAGTTAGTTAGTTAGTTAGTTAATTAGCTAGTTAGTTAGTTAGTTTGCTAGTTAATTAGCTAGTTAGTTAGTTAGCTTGCTAGTTAGTTAATTAGCTAGTTAGTTAGTTAGTTTGCTAGTTAGTTAGTTAGTTAGTTTGCTAGTTAGTTTGCTAGTTAGTTAGTTAGTTAGTTAGTTAGTTAGTTAGTTAGTTAGTTAGTTAGTTAGTTAGTTAGTTAGTTAGTTAGTTAGTTAGTTAGTTAGTTAGTTAGTTAGTTAGTTAGTTAGTTAGTTAGTTAGTTAGTTAGTTAGTTAGTTAGTTAGTTAGTTAGTTAGTTAGTTAGTTCAACCACCCTAGCCGAGCGGACTTGTAGTGATAGCCTAGACCTGTTCTCCAGTCATAGCTGGCTCTTAAGACTATGGCTTGTCAGCTATATCTTTTGTTGCTGACCTGTTCATTTTTGGGTAATTCTTCTGTTCTTGTTGCAGTTTTAGCCAATGGGGCCGTCAGTGTTAATAATAGTAAAAAGCATTTGTGGGCTGTTTGCTTTAATATTGCGGCATATGGCAGCAACACGGGATGAAACGGCGAACACGAAAACAAAAGGACAACACATCACTTTTGTTGTCTCTTTGTTTTCGTGTTCATCGTTTCACACAGTGTGCTCTGCCATATACAGTATTTTGAGCGTTGAAAAGTTTGAGATCACCTGTTTTTGGCAAAGAAAATATTATGACTAAATTGCACGTGGGGCTGGTTCATGAGTAGCAGAGTGCCACGGGGCTAATTTCTCATCTGAAGTCGATACAATATGACTTCTCCTCTTATGTAAACACTACAAATTGCTGCTGAACTTCTCACGCTAAACAACGTGCCGATCAATCATCCGCGCAGCGTCTATTCCGGGACCGCTGCTGTTTGGGCACGTGATCGACCGCAGCTGCCTGGTTTGGCAGTCGATCTGCGGCCGCAGCGGTTCCTGTCTTTACTACAACAACAAGCTGCTGGCGCACAACCTGTTCTACGTGCTCATTCTACTTAAGACGCTCTCCATCTTCCTCTACGGACTCTCGTGGATCAAGTACCGTGAGAACTTCCGCTCCGGTCGAAGCGGATGGCGAGCCGCTTGATGGAGAGAACACATGGCGCTGTATTCCCGTTGTTGCGCCCTACTGAAACCGAGTCTAGGCACAGGTGAGTAAGGCGTACTTGCATTGGATGACGCGTGCCAGGAAAAGGGACTGCAAAGGCTTGGGCTCGACATTAGGACAAGACATTGTTCTCATGAAGGTAGCGACTTGTTGCTGTCGACAAAGCATGAATAAGCTATGTCGTCGGGCCGAACCATTTGACTGTAGGACGAGCAGCTATATGTCAAAGAGTCGGCTCTAATAGGCGCATCAGATGTCACACACGAGGAAGTTGTAGGGGTGAACGGTGCCTTTGGCCTCTCCATTCAGGTGGAGACCTTAACATTTTGAATGCACATTTTTCTAGATGTTACGGCGCATGCGTCCTTCCCCTATCGAAAACGTCGCGGAGCACCTCTTCAGCTCAGAGGCCTTCGTTCCGTCAATACCGGCTGTCTCGATTCCCGCAAAAGGTTACAAATGAGCGGAAGGAAGCAACGGAAATCTCAAAAGGCAGATTGCCGGCTATAATGACTCGACCCGTCTAGTATACCGCTGGAGTAAACCTCACGTAAATTGACTAAAAATATCACCACGACAATGATTTGCTTAAGATTTCCCATTCAACATTCCAAAATGGGTCATCCTTGACCGGACTGATGCCTACATGGCTTAGGTAATACACAAACTTATCGACTTCAATACACGACACACAATCATATTTGCTATCACTATTCAACCTCCCCCTCCCCATCTCTCGGGTATGGGTGTCTGCACCCACCTTTCACCGCCCTAGCCCAAGCAAAAATGACAAACTTGCAACTCGCGCTCCACCGGCATCGCTTGTTTGTCCAGAAGTACATTTACTGAAACATTGGCTGCAGTATAACACTTTTTTCTGCGCAGGCAACAGTTCATTGATTTCTCCTGAATTTACTGCACCTCACTGGTCAGAAGATTTTATGAGGTTTTCTTTTTCGCTATTATGTTGATTAATCTCTATATAAAGAAATATTCTCGTGTACAAACTGAAGTAGGAGTATATTTGCACCAGTAATTTAATAAAAACAATGATTACGAACGAACAAAAGATCAGTAAACATGACCTTAGAAATCGCTCTTAAAAGGTAGTTGTAGAAACGCATACCCTATTGTCGATGCGATCCACGCCCCCGACTCAAGGGCTGCCAGGCTAAGCGCTATTCGAATGGCAAGTCGATATCCCTCTTGACAGCGTTCTTCCGTCTGTTTTTTTTTTTCACTTGACTCTCTCGGTTTCTGTTAATGTAGGTGCGCATTTGCCTAAACACGACATCAGACAGTCGATACAGACGTTTTACCGAGAAAAGCCCAGCCCGAAAACATCCGCCTGCATTAACTTGCTGCTCACGGCACGATAAGCGCCAAGGTACACTGTTGTTCTTCGCTTACTGCGATGCACCCGTAGGACACTACAAATAAAACAAAATAAAAAGCACCTACTGAAAACAGTTACTGTGAATCGGACCCTAACGTGAAAAATAGGGACAGTCGGCAAAATCAAAACAGCAAAGAAAACCATCTTCAGAAAATGTTGCGAGATCTTTTTTTTTGGGGGGGGGGGGGGGAGGGAGAGCTTTTTCGGGAGATTGGGGAGTTAATTCCCATGACCTCAATTCAACATACCAATAACACCTTATGTCTTTTCTGTTGTTATCGTGATACTGTAACATTTCATTAAAATGGCGTATCTCAACGTACAACATCGACTGAATACGTGTGTTTATTTTTTAGTGTGAAAACTTTGATCATAGCAAGTCCACATAGAGACTTTAGGTATTAAGTTCAAGATTTATTGAATGCCAGTTCTTTGTTGTTGTTTTCTTTTGCTGAAAAAAAGCGCCACCTGGAAAAGTAAATTCCTTACGATGCTGTTTTTTTTTTTTTTCAGATGGGACGTGCCCCTTCCTGTGCGCTCCCTCTCCAGCAAAGCGCTCTCATAAAGAATTTATAGGCATACTTTCTGTTTTCTGTTACAATAAGTATGAGCGTACTGTTCTTTCACATGGACGTTTTTGTGTGTGGCCCAGAGCTTGCGTGATGGCTTGAGTCAAGTTAGCTAAAGCACTGTGGACACGTGGCGTAGTAAGAGTACTCGACAGCTAGCTGTCATTCCTTAGTCTACTGAAACATATGTGTATTAACAGTGGAGCTGTTTAAGCCGGCTTTATTCTATCAAACGTGAACAAGTTTCCGTGGTACGATGAAGTCGCCGCGCGTTGCCTAGCAACCAGTTGCATAGCGGCGGCAAGGTATATTTAAACTGCATGGTAGCAAAACTTCCATAGAAGCCCCGGAATCCAGTTGTTGGCCACTCGTTGCCACCGTCGCTATATGCGTATAGAGAGGACAATTAACAGCTAACAAAAAATAAAAAATAATATATGACGTCATAACCAGAAGCGGTTGCGATGTCATGCATTTCCTATACAAGGCGCGAAGTTGAATTTTTTCCTTCATTGCTGAACGTTTACGTTGCGTTATAAATAGGCAAATTTATTGCATCTTATAGCTCGCTTATTGCGTGCGCGAGAGAAAAGAAGGATAAGCATGAAAGACTGAGGAAGCAAAGTTGTTTTATTTGCAAAAAGAGTGTACTTGCAATATGCACCAGAAATATCGCAGTTGAAATTGTGACACAACTGTTCACGAGCACAATAGCGTTCCGCCCTGGTGGTTGGCTAAGGTACTCGGCTGCTGACCCGCGGGTCATGGGATTGAATCCCGGCTGCAGCGGCTGATTTTTCGGTGGAAGCGAAAATGCAGTATGCCCGTGTGCTCTGATTTGGGCGCACGTTAGAGAGCCACAGGTGGTCGAAATTTCCGTAGCTCTCCACTATGGTGTTTCTCGTATTCATATGGTCGTTATGGACGTTAAACCCCACATATCAACCAATCAATCAACGAGCACAGTGGCATAGCAGTTGTGTAATATTAGCAGGATAACTTTGCAACTCAAGTTGCACAGTTGTGGTGAACCACTGCAGCGAGACAGCAGCCCTGATAATATCTCTTTGGCAACCGTAATTGATTTATATGTGGGATCTAACGTCCCATAACTACCATATGTATATGAGAGACTCTGTAGTGGAGGGCTCCGGAAATTTTGACCACCTGGGGTTCTTTAACGTCTACCCAAATCTGAGCACTCTTTGGCAACCGTAGAGTACAGCGTGTCGTTACTTAGCGTGTCGCATTCACTGTCACCAACGTTGAAGGCATCCCGGCCGCGCGTACCAGCGATGACAGTCGACAGTCACTTGTAGGAGCGGCTATCCATACACACCATAAAAACTGTGTCGAGGTGTTGGTTTCAGTGATAGCCGTTATTGCGCACTCTAAAATTAATTTAGATTTGAAAGTGTTTTTCAGAGACAAAACACGCGTGCTCTTTGTCTCCGTTCGTGAAAACTCAGTAATATCGTATTGCATGGATTGTTACATTACGTTTGCCAAACCGCGCAGTGTCTGCCACAAAGAACAGTAGCCAATAATTTTTCTCACCGTGCCAGTCAAGAGCGATAGTCACAGTCCATTCACAGCCTATGTGAATCAAAGCCACCATTAGCGGTGGTTGCGAAGAATTAATAGAGGGAATGGAGCATTTTTTTCACTGAATTAGTGGCATGTGAAAGAGCCTTACGGCTGTTGCCTTAAAAATACGAAAATTGACATAGCACTGAGTTGTGTGTCTACAGTACTGACTATATCTTCAGTGAACCAAACAAGTCTTCCCTCTTTAGTTAATACATGTAGGCTGCATGTATACGCATTCTGTACAGAGGTCGCGGTGGGTCGTTAAAGGAGGGCAAACGTATATGAATACATAGATTGTATATTGTTTCGCATTTATATTGATCTGCATGCCTAAAAACGCAGTTTAGCCATCATGCGAGCTGAGTAAGCTCTACCGTCAGTGCAAGACATAATTACGAATGCGTTACTTATACACAAGGTGGCCGTCTTGAAGAACAGCGCTTCCACAAAGATGACCGTATCGAAAAACAGCGCCTCTACAAACATGTACACAGTCAATCATTATATGCTGCGCTATCTGCGACGTATGCATGGCATCGTTTATTAGAAATACTAGAGCCCACTGTAGACCGATAGAACAAGGCTGAAGATTGCATACTTCACTTGAACCACTATACATTCAGTTTCTTGCCGGGCATTACAAATCAGCCTATTATTACATCCTGGCTATATAGTGCAGTGCGAGATGGTCAATGTATTTTGCATCGGCCTTTAAGATAAATATTTCGAAAGCGATACCAAGATTCGTGGGAAGATGTCACCACATTGACGTATGATCGTGCGTGCGTTTGTATCACGTGCATATATATATATATATATATATATATATATATATATATATATATATATATATATATATATATATATATATATATATATATATATATATATATATATACACGACGGCACGTGAAGCACAACTCATTCCTCGTGAGTAAGCAGCTGATCGTTAAACGTCGCTGTCCCTCTCGGTGCCTTCACAGCTTTCTACGTGTCCAGCGAAAAATTCTCGTCGTCAAGATGGCATCTTCAAACATCACTGTTGAAAGCGCAATCTGAGAAATACCCTGCGCTGAACGACTTGACAACAGCAACAACAGCCGGCCACCACGTACGTTTACTTGGGTGCGGAGAAAATTTCGTCATCCTGTCAACAAGCTAATTGTTTGCAGTGTGCCGCCATCTACCAAAGAATGTTACAAAAACAAATGGCGCAACACTGGTAAATTTTACAAAATCACGAGCCCGCGCCACTTTCCGCGCAAATGTTACGAGATTCATGCACTACAAAAGCACTGACGTATCTAATATACATGGAAAAGAAGGTATATTCCATCCAAATGGGTTAGACGATATTCAACTAACCTACGTGGCTACAGAAAACCTTGCGAAGCAGATATGCATGCGTACTCTGAGGGCTATCA